ATATATATACTCTTCTAGGCTATGGGACCAAGATAAGTGCTTCCTGAACACGGTTTTTCTCCCAGCAGTTGATTTTTTAAAAAATATTTTGGCAAGTGTTTTACGGCACTCGCAACTGCGTAAAGTTATATGAGCGCGCGGAACACACCAAACATTTTCAGTTGGTAGGAAATTTTAAATTTTTCATGGGTGGCGGCCAAAGCCTACACTTATCGATTTTGGACTACCAAGGGATCTTTAACGAGCGCAACTTGCACACGGGACCTCCGAGATTTTTCACCCTTCTCCGAGAAGGTTAGGTGTAGGTCTTACATACCATAAGATCAGGGGTGTGGCTGAAAGACAGCAGTAAGAAGGAGCCAAAGAGAAGCAGTAGAAAGGCAGCAGAAAGAGCCAAAGAGGGGGCAAAGGAGACACCAGTTGAGAACTTCTTTTTAAAATGCATATCAATAATAATGCACACATGCTCGCTCACACACCCCCCCCCCCCCCCACACACCCCCACCCACACACACACACGCACACACACACCCACTGGACGATAGTGAAAAAGGGGAGGGGAGGGAGTATTACTTTGGGTTCAGCCACCCTCAGCAGAGTGCCTCTGGTTACCAGCATTCTCATATTACTACTACGAGATAAAATCCTTCACTCTTTATGACAAGATTGCTTTCGCCGGCCTGGCGTTTAGGCCAGATTAAAGCACAGTAGGAAGTAAACAGCGAATAGAACACAAAGTTAATGCACTGATACTGACGGAAACTAGAGACAAGTTAAATGTTCATATTAGTGATAAAATACAACGTACTAAATGTGCTGTTTACAAGTGTTTGAATGCTTCAATTAGAAGCAGCTGAGAAATCAAACTGGCAACCTGGGGCCTCCTATTTGCACCCTGATGACAATTTATAACTGCCGAAAGCTGTTAACATAATGGTAAATCAAGGCATACTAATGTCCGTTCTTCCGCGTATTTCGTTACCTCACAAATACAACGTTCTATCTGACATTTTTGGCCGTTTTGAGTTATTAGGACCATGGGGTCTGAAAGTACTGTCTGTTGTATAAACATTGTACAAGTCGTTATCAAGATATTCACAGAATTACATTGTTCTATCTGAATGCCAGATGATCTTTTCAGAATTTCAAAGTTCTATCTGCAACAAAGAGTTTATAAATAGAACTAGAGGTCCCAGCTGTGACGTCACCCACGTACTTGTGAAAGTTGTAATTATTCTCTTTCTCACGCTTGTTTGCACATTCAATTACGGCACAATTTTGCACCATTGTTGTTTCTGCACAGATCTACACTGTACCAGAGTACTACCGTACTATTCCGACTATAGCGTTTTTACTTGTGGTCTCCAAACATCCAGCGCGGACAAAATTGACATCACGGGGGGCGTGACAAAAAAGTTGCGAGCCAGCGTTGAGAAAGGAGACAGAAGAAAGAGAATCTGTTGTGCGACAACATAGTGTTGATGGGGGCGTTAAACTATACCATTTCACCAGTTTCACCATGTGGGTGAACCACTCTAGTCTTTTTTTGTTTTGTTTTGTTTTGTTAGTTGTTTTTGTTTTTGTTGTTGTTGTGGGTTGTTTTTTTGGGGGGGGGTTGGGGGGGTTGGGGGGGTTGGGGGGGGGGAGGGGGGGGCTTTCAAAGTGTTGTTGTTGTTGTTGTTGTTGTTGTTGTTGTTGTTGTTGTTTTTCATGATGGTCAGTATTAGATTGAATGTACTTGAAACTGAACAAAAGTTATTATCAGCAATTAAATCTTTTATGTTTTCTGTCTAGGCGATTAAAAATTTAGCGGCTCCGCCGGTCTTGCGCAGTTAACAAACCGCCCCTGTCTGTTTATGATTTGGTTGATTGTGATATCACAGTCTGCCAAATACTTTGCTTAGCCTGAAAGTGGAAGCAGCTCTAGCATCAATCCTAGCATACATAATGAAGGATTATCACAAAAATCAAATCCAAGGACAAAGAAAACCCAACAGAATAACCTTGTAAATTTGGTTAAAGCGAAAAGGAATTATAGCTGCTCTTATTCTCATGGCCTAATCATAGAACTCGTCTAACATTCGCCACAGCTCTCGGTTACTTGACGTATATCCGACATCATAGATCGAATTTCGTTTGTCGTGATGTGCCCTCTCTGATTGTTGGTTCTTTGTTTTGGTAAGTATGTTATGGTGCTTATATTTGCATAAGTTCATATGAGTGCACGGGCTCCATAAGTATTTTCATTTGGTAGAAATTAATTTAGAATTTTGCCCGGGTTGCGCCGCAGCCTACTGTTATCGCTTTTAGAAATCTCCAAAGGACCTTTAACGTGCGCAACTTGCACGCAGGGCTTCCGAGATCCGTTGGTCCTTATTTGATAAGGCTAGGTATTAGATCTTACCTACCCTAAGATGAGCGATGTGTCTGAAAGGCACCAGTAGGAAGGAGCTAGGAGCAGCTGTAGAAAAAGTAAGGAGCCCAGAAAGGATTGGGGGGGGGGGGGGCAGAAAGTGGAGATGAAAGCTGTAAATGACAGAACAAAAATTAGAGAGTAGGAAAGGAGGTGAAAGGAGAACGTTTTAAAGGAAGAGTTTAGTCACTCTCGGGTTTCGAACCCGGGACCTATTGAATGAGAGGCGAACAACGTACCTCTAGACCACGAGGGCATCCCCCCCCCCCCCCCCCCCGCCCTCAACATTTTAAATCCTGTTTTCTTATCTGAAACTAGTGGCGTCGGTAGATTTGGGGTTAGCCTACCACACTCATAATCGTGAGGTTGCAGGTTCGGGGGTTCGAGCCTCAGCTAGGTCCGACGTTTTGTCCTTGGGAAAGTCGCTTTTCACGAAACTTTGGCTCGGTCCTTCCGGAGATGGACGTTAAACTCGGGGGTCCTGCCTCTTAAATAAACTTGATAGAGGTGTTAAAACCCTACTATTTTATTTCATCTTAAACGTTTTTATTATTAAATGTGGGCAGCAGCAAGTGAATAGTTTCATGACGAAATGTGATAAAATATCATTTTTGGGGATTTTGAGAAAAATAAAGAGTTCTATGTCTCACCCATTTACAGAAAAATCTTGGGCAGCTTTGTAGAGTAAATATGACGTAAAGCTAACTTATTTGGTGTACGATAAAATTTATGTTGGATTCATATCAACTAGAAAGCCTTAAAAAAACATCCAGTTCAGGTGGAAATGCAACCTTTCTCTTGTAAATATAAAGGTAACACATTCTGGCATCTGTAGTGTATATCCCTTGTTCTGTTGCATATTGCTTCTATCTTATCCATTATCTATTTGTGGTGGCCGAATTTTGCTATTCAAAAGGCTTTTTAATGGCAGCATCGATCGACATGCATTTTTCACCAAAAGATTCTTTAAAACATTCCCCAGATCATGATGCCATTCGTTTCTTCAGTTTTTTAGACAATTTTGCTGTAAAAAGCTAAATTTCTTTATTTCGCCGATCGCTTTTGTAGGCCGGCGTTTCTGTCTCTGTAATTTTAGAAAATCCACCAGGTTTGTTTATTTCAAGTCGTACTTCCGTTCGATACTATCGCGCATTGTCGCGCAATACTGAACACTATTTTAAATGTGCGACCCGTATAGATCTTGCCTTATGTATTAAATTCGACTGTGATCCTTTCGTTTCATGCCCATCATCGCTTTTTCTGGACTCCTTTGTCAAATTCTTTTTCTTGCTACTGGGAACAAGCAACACGCTTCTGTTTCTGCAATTTTAGAATATCCGCCAGGATTGTTTATTTCATATTATCTAAACCTTCTAATTTTTTGCATCTCTCAGGGTTTATTCCTCCATTCCAGTAGAGTGTAAATATAGTAGGCCAATGACTTTCAGTTGATGTTAATGCACCAATCATTCCTTTCATCGAAAGGGGGCCCAGCTAGTTACCTTTTATTTTTCCACAAGCTTTGTAGTTCGTGAAAACTTAGTTTTTAATACAGCCCCTTGAATGTAACTGGCAAGTTGAAGCCAAAGTATAGAAAAAAAGTGTGCATATGTATATGCTCGTAGACACAATAATCTAAAAAAAAAAGAAGCTTTTTCTCACTTCGTATGTTTGAATTCATGAGTCAAATCTTCGGATGGCTTGATATGTGTCTATCTGCGAATGGCTTAATGCCATTAGCCGTCGTTGAGCAAAGTGTGTATAACATCGTTCGTTCATAGCTTGATACAATAAGCCTATCTGTGACTTTTTGTAGTACTGATGAACGATTTATTTCAGAAAAATAAATCTGACGGGTGAAGATTATATACATGAAAGTAACTTTGTTGAAAACAGTATCAACGTATTCAAAAGGATCAAAACAGAGTGCCACAGCTCTAAACGAAAGCAGACACACTTATGGACCACAAAAAAGATGAAAAATGAGCACAAAGCTGAAATAAACATGATGTATTCGCCTACAAAACTGATGAAAACTCAGAGCATTCAGGTACAAAACTGAGTTAGTGCACGACTCATTCATCGATTACACTTATTGGAAATCATTGGCAATGAAATACAAAACTGCAGGAAACAATGTACTTCATGACAAAATTGAAAAACAGAAACAAATGAGTTCACTTCCAAAAAATTAATGAAACAATGTCTTCACGCACAAAAATGATAGAAACAAAAATCTTCACTTACAGAACTCATTGAATTTTTTTAATGTCTTCACTTACAGAAATGACTGAAGCAATAATAATATTAGATGTTCACATGCAGTTTGAAAAAAAAACATATTTACGGACTCAACTGATGTACTCATTAACAAAACTGGGGGAGGGGGGCGGGAACAATGTCTGGGAGATATTATGCGTGCTCATACAAAACTGAGTATGAATTTGTCGGAAACAATGCGTGTACAGACAAAACTAACTGCAAAAAACGTTTTCACACACAAACTTAAAATTTAAGTAAAAGGAAATAATGTGTTAAAGTACAAGACCAAACGGAAGGATATGTTCGGGCGGAGATCGAGCGACAAGAAGAATCAGACAACGAAGAGAAGAGTGAAACTTCTATAACTATATCTACAGCAATTCAAGCCAATAAGTCTTGTCTTCCTTATATTATAGGTCTATACCTTGTCTAATGCGTGTGTCCCCCACACTCCCGAACACTCGTTCATCCACATAAGAATGTACTTGCGCACACATACACACACACATAGACACACACACACACACACACACACACACA